GGGGGGGGGGGCAGATTGCCCCAAGAGAAGGGGCGGTGCCCCGGGATACCTATACTTAGATTAAACCACACTCAGATTTAAACACGAATTTACATTTTCTTTATATTGTTTCCGACTAAATTAACCGATATAACACAATAACGTCCGGCAAAGACGATACATATGCATGTGAATTTTACTCGAATATATCCATCTAAGTTTACCAACTTTTACCATATTTTTTTACATTTACCAGGTAACACAGAACAAGTATGTTTCTCACCTGCATATTTAAAATTCTATTTCAGCAGTCCCCGGTGGTATACTTTCTTGCAATTTTTTCTCTGAAGCAAACCGTGTATTACGCAACTGAGTTAGCTTTACACCACTTCGGTGGCTGTATGGTCTTAAAACAACACTCTGCAATTTCAAAGCGATAAGCTGTTTTTTTTTTAACATATACAACCAGTAATTCTTTACAACAGGTAATACACCAGAGAAGGTTCAACAGAAACCACCCACAGTTTTCGACTGGTGCTCAACGTGAAGCGTGTGCCCGCCGAGCGTGCGCGTATCCGCCGTGCGAGGTGGGCGGAGCCTCGTCTTAATTCGGACGCGGAGAGGTTACTACGCGGGTTTCCCTTTCGACGTTTGAAAACGCTCGCGAGCTAAAAAGAAAATTGTAGCTTTACGTTTATCAATAACGTATTATAAAACCCGCCTAGAGATACAGTCTAGCCAGCGCTATAGTTATTCTTAAGGCCTAAAAGAGAAGGACTGGCGCCGAGCCAGGGGCGGGCGTCATGAAGCTCACGGACAATGTGCTGCGGAGTTTTAGGGTCGCGAAGGTTTTCCGGGAGAATTCGGATAAAATCAACTGCTTTGATTTTAGCTCGAACGGCGAGACTGTAATTTCCAGTAGTGATGATGACTCCATCGTCTTGTACGACTGCCAGGAGGGAAAGTAAGGCATATATAGCAGGGCATTTCGTTATGTCACTCGTAATGGTGCTCAGCCTACGAGGAGGCCGAACTCTTGCATGTAGCTTAGCTGATCGTCTCGCATACTGCTATTAAAGCGTTTCCTTGCCGTTCGGCCTGCTGAAGATAGAGCATCCAAGAGCACGGGTTACACTTTTGGCTTAGTTTCCCTGTCTGTTTTAAAGTATTAGTAGAGTCCTTATTATTTTGCGCGGGGCTAGCTAAAACAACCCCCCCCCCCCCACCCACCCCCGAGTCGTGAAAAGACGCTAACCTGTAGCATGGGCTACAACCAACTCTATCCTGCGTTTTACATATCCATTTTACATTATCAAAATGATAGTCACGTTATTGAGCACATTAGTCATTGTTTGGAAGGTGATTATGTAGAAGCTTTTGTGTATTTTATACACTTTCTCTGTTGCGTAATAATGGGTAGACGTAGCTGCAGTTGTTTTATTCATTCCATGCATGATGTACCATAGAGCTCACAATGTTATCATGGGCGGAGTTAGTGTGCAGATTGGCCGACGTATTTTCAACCATTTGTATGTGTGTGTGTGGTTTTTAATGTACAATTAAACTGCAACACCTGTAATTTTTTATTTTGCAGAATAAGTAGAGAAAAAATTGGCGCTTTTTTGTGTTGGTGATAATGACTTAAAATTGCTGATCACCCCCTGTTTTCTTGTTAGACCCAAGCGAACCCTCTACAGTAAGAAGTATGGCGTTGATCTAATCCGCTACACGCACGCAGCTAACACCGTGGTCTACAGCTCTAATAAAATCGATGGTATGTCATTCCTGACATTTTAGTCTAATATTTATTGTTTGCTTTCAAAATTGGTGCTTGTTTGGCTTTGTAATATTTTCACTGATTGCCCACTTTATTTGTGTAAGCAATTTATTGATGGGAGTGTTTAGTAGTGCCATAGAGGAAGGTCTTGGTGAAGAGTGAGTTTGCCTGCACGTGGCATGTTTTGCCTTTTGTCCATGCTCTCAAGCTTGCAGCAGGTTCCAAAGTATGACCAATGCCTGCTCTGTGCTGAGGTAGTTGTTTGTACAGTTTGAGGGTCTGTGATTCTGCCCGGTTCTGGAGCTAACTGTACAGGCCACTGCCTTGCCCAAAGCGGAGCCCCTCCCTCTGAATCGCCAGCCAGATATTTGTGTCGACACTTTCAGGGTTTGGCTGCTTCCTTCTCACGGTTAATGGGATGTTGTTGAATGTCAAAGAAGTTGATTGTTTGCACCCTTGCTTTCTTCGAGCCTCTCTTTCCTGTGCTTTAACAACCTGAACATGTGATCCCCAGACACCATTCGATACCTGTCTCTCCATGACAACAAGTACATTCGATATTTCCCTGGACACAACAAAAGGTGAGCTCAGTATTAGATTCAGAGTTACATTACCACCAGATGGGGGATTCTGTCCCAGGGTGTTTATGAAATGCTAAATTCATGGAATTCCTGGGTACTTTCCGCCAATATTTCTAAATCAATAAGATTTGTTGCAAAAACATCTGTGATGGGTACAGTGATCATTTTTACTGAGCATTTTTAACAGAATCATTTTATGATTATATTATTTGAGTGGCTGTTTTAAAACTTGAAATGATGTGGTTTGTGTGCGGTTCTTTTTCTGCAAAATGGCAGAGTTGTGGCTCTCTCCATGTCCCCAGTCGATGACACCTTCATCTCGGGCTCCCTGGACAAAACCATTCGGCTCTGGGATCTCCGCTCGCCAAACTGCCAGGTGAATAGGGGTTCACTCTCCTCACTGTCCATTGCTTCATTATATGTCATTTAGTTCATATTCACTTTTGTAACGGTCTTCCTGCTTCTTTCAGGGACTGATGCACTTACAAGGAAAGCCAGTCTGCTCTTTCGACCCAGAAGGGCTGATTTTTGCAGCTGGTGTGAACTCTGAGATGGTCAAGCTGTACGATCTGCGATCATTTGACAAGGTAAAAGCATGTATTATTTAAAGCAATCTATGATCAGTAGATCTATTGGAAAGTATGATTTTGTGAGAGTTTCTTGTTGAACTTCATGGAACAGAACCTCATGACAGAGGTGATTGTATATGCCTCTTTGCTGCAGGGCCCCTTTGCCACTTTCAAACTCCCCTTGGACCGGAACTGTGAGTGGACTGGCCTTAAATTCAGCAATGACGGGAAGCTGATCCTTGTATCCACAAACGGAGGAGCTCTCCGCCTCCTTGATGCATTCAAGGGGGCAGTGCTTCACTGTTTTGGGGTAAGTTTGTTCCTTCAAACTTGGTTGTACTTTTCACTGTTGTAAGATACTCGTTCAGATGTTATGTATGGAGATATTGGCTTTTTTTTCCCCCTGTTTTCCATGCCTGAGTAAATTTTTACTGTCTTATCTCTGTATGTGTGTGTGTATAGCTTAAAGCAATACATCATCTACTTTTGCCTGAATACTTATGTTCCTTTTCAAACTTCAACGGGCATAGACTGAACACTATTCAGTTATACTTAAATGCTGTACTTGTCCCACATGTAGGGCTACAACAACAGCAAAGGGGTCACTCTTGAGGCATCCTTTACTCCAGACTCACAGTTCATTATGATTGGTAAGCACATACATGAGAAGGAGTTCTGTGCTTTGTTTGGGGTAGAAGTGCTATATGTGCCATTAAATTTAGGCTCATTTTGCTTGAATGTTTGACACGCTTGTTATAAAATATGCTATTGCTGTTAACGCCAGTAGTGTGCCGCCTCCGTTTCATTCAGTGCCTGAACTAGTTAAGGTAGCTGTAACTTGACTCCCTGCCTCTTAGGGTCGGAGGATGGCAAGATTCACGTGTGGAACGCGGAGAGTGGTATGAAGGTGGCACTGCTGGACGGAAAGCACACAGGACCAGTGACTTGCCTACAGTTCAATCCCAAATTCATGACCTTTGCCAGTGCCTGTTCTAACATGGTAAGACCCTTAGCTCTTCACTCAGCCACACAGGCTTAAGGGGTATCCATGCTTCATGCTCTCTCTTAACAATACAACTGATGTAAGAAATTAGACACTATCGGTGAACACATTGTTCATTATTCTAGCAAAATAAGGGCAGCATTTAATATGCTTGTTTGAAGACTTCTGATGTTGAACGTCTCAGGCAAGACCCTACCTGCACTATTCTGAAGTGCTCTTACAATTTCACCAGTTTTCTCAGATATTTTATGTTAAGACGCAAAAGTCGCAAATTCAGGTCAAAGCAACAGGCAGACGACTTCATTTAATGGTGTTGGTAATGTGCATCAGGCTTTTAACCTCCTGGTTTTAATCCACAGGCATTCTGGTTACCCACGATTGATGACTGAGACTACCCGTCTGAGAGGACCGTCTCCCCTATTGCTGCAAGAGACATCGCAGTGCCACCTTCTGAGCCAGCAGGGGCAGTATTCCCTCCCCTATGCTGTGCCTGGGATTTGGCGTCTGTGCCTCACTTAGGCTAATAGGGGTTGTTTGTAAATAAGGAGGGGAGGGGGATTTTTTTTATTTTTTCAATTAAAATGTTTTTGATTTTACTGTGTGTCATCCTGCTCTGTTTATGTTTTCCCCCCATCCTTCTGTTCAGAACCGGGCAGTGATCAGTTTGAGAGCACCTTAGCACTAAGTTATTTGCACACAGGAGTGGGGATATGGAATTCTTGGACACTATTTTTCTAGGTAGAGGAATACTTATAAATGAAGGTACATTTCCTTTATTTTTACCATTTTGCTTTGATGTAAAACTCAGGGAAGTGAACAGGAACCCCCAACTATGTACTGGTAGTGTGTGATATTGATCAGAACTCATGACAGTGCATACCTTAGCACAGTGTTTCCCAAGTCAGTCCTCGGGGAACGCCGGACAGTCCGCGTTTTTGCTTCCTCTCGGCTCACAGCACACCTGTACCAGGTATTCCGTGTTTCTGATTGGCTAGAAGTTAGGAGGGAGCAAAAACATGGACTGCCGAGAGGTTCCTCCAGAACTGGGTTGGGAAACACTGCCTTAGCATGTACGTTTATTTCCTCACATGTTACCTCCCTGAACCTGGGCAAATTACTTTGTGAATTTATTTCTAGAGAAAAAATACTAGTTGTATTTGACCATCATTGTGCAGGTGGGAAGTTTTTAACCATTTTATTCATACCACAAATGTGATTACATTTTGGTCTTTGTGTCCAGAATGGATGATTATTAGAAGGTATTGACATGTGGTTCTTACAACCATCTATAACTGCTTGTTCAGAGTGCATCCCAGGATTAGGGGAGTGGTGCTTGTCTGTCACAGAGCAATCAAATATGGACAAATTTAGTGACTGTTCACTGTTACTTTTGGAATGTGGTTTGAAACCCCCATGAACCAGGGAGGGTCAGCAAACTCAACCCACAATAATAAAGGCGTGAGGCCATATATTATCCCACTGAACCACTAAATACCTGCAACATGCTGATGGAAATCGGACTATGATATAAATACATACACTTAGGAATTAGCCTTTGTGTACAGTAATATGACATAGTGCTATTCTGTTTTTTTCCTACAATTAGTCCTTTAGAACAACAGTGGTGATGCATACAGAATCGATAAATTCAGCCTAAACATATTCTCTGTAGCTGGTAGCATTTTAATGTAACAGCATCTGTTGTGTGTGTGTGGGTGGGTGTGCCCGATGGACCGATGAAAATACCGAGCTACTGCCAATAGATGGCGACATAATCGTTACAGAAAAAGAAACATTGAAGGTAGAAAATCTTTAATATGAAATGTATGTGTGTATACACACACACACATATCTATATATATATATATATATACACACACACACATACTCCTATTAAACGTTCTCCTCAAGAGCAGTGATTCAGTGGTGGATCTGAGGAAAAATCAAAGGGACACCATTTATGTGTGATTACGGCAGTGGCACGGAGGTCTTATATTTAAATGATGTAAGGCTATTTTATAGCACGTTTTGCGTTTTTTGCTCAACCTGTCAAGTATTGCGGTTTTCAACCTCATTACACCCGTTCTCAGAACGAGATGGGTGGAGCAACGGGGAAATTTCGTTGTGCAGAAGCTTGGATTGTTTACCCAGATTTCCCTTTCCTAGAAAAAAAAACCCGGCAACTCGTTTCCTGTGAATTTAACTTAACTGAAACCCAAAAAAATGCCTCACTAAGTTATTGTACAATTAATTTGAAATTCAAACGATAAAAATGGTGGAAACATACCTCACAATTAAAATAAATAAACAGAGACGGCAGAAACATAAACGCTACAGCACATTGCGAAATCCCTCCCGCATGGACTCAGACGTGGGCAGCTGCGGCTCGTGTTGATGTCGTCATAGGCACTGAAATATGACTCTATTCCCAGAACATAATTCTTGGAACTGAACTCATAAAGTCAAACCCACTGGACTTTTCCCCGCTCCAGTTTTCCAGATAACGTGAATCACATTTCCTCACCACTTTAAGCTCACGACTCTGTGACTTGCAGTCTTCATTGCTTTGTGTTTGCTTTTATAAAACACATCTGACTATTTAAGGACGGCTTACAAGTGCTTCTTTCAGTCTTTCGGAGTAAGGTAGACGTATCGCATTGATTAAATTCAAGTTACTTCTCCGTTACTTTTTTCTTCTTTTTTTTCCACAAAACTGTAGAAGCATACATATTTCATTATAGTTTGGACTCTTTGGAATTATTCTGCCTTTTACATTAGTTAGGTTTACTTTTCAAAACAGAAAAAGAATACCGGTCTACAGGATTTAACTCAAGCTTCTGTCATGATTCTTTGTGTACAAGGGTAAGTATAATTAAACATTTAATCTTAACTTAAAATCTAAAGAAACTATATATAATGGTTTGTGTTGTAATTTATACGTACAGTTGTTTATTTTTTATGTATTAAGAAACATAACAATAGTGTTGATAAGATAAAATTTTGTATAAACACCGTCTGTTATTTTGCATCTGATCGATTTTTATTTTTTTCCATTAAAAATTCCATCCCTTTAAAGTTTTGATGGATTAAAAATTTCTAATATAATTTTATTATGTCTTCCACAATATAACATCTTTTATGTGAATGTATGAAGCAATAATACGTGAACTGAATGTATACAAACAAATACACGTTGTATCATTTTGAATGAAACAGTAACACTGTTGCAGTAATAATGAAGCGGAGGCTTTTCTTTAACATCGTGCCGCCGCCTTGCGCCTTCAGAACAGGGGAACTCGCGATCGGAAGGCTGCATTCCATTAAGTGCCACTTTCGAAGTGGAAAGTAATGCACACATTTTGCTCAGTTTCCTTTGCGGTTCTTCGGCGACTGGTTCAGTATTTCCAGGAAACCGTATGGTGTCGTTACCGAAGCATAGAGATGTGGGTGGCTCGGCGCCATTTAACCGACGAGCTTAAAGCTCTACTGCAACAAATACATGAACTACACTAGTCTGTGTTTTGTCCTTTGCCCATATATATATATATATATATATATATATACACACACACACACATTTGTGTGTGTGTGTGCGCGCGCATGTGTGGAGAGAGAGAGAGTTTTGGAGTGACTGGCGGACTGGCGATGTCCATGTTTAAAACATCTTTAAAATTCGATTCATTCATTTCGGGATGTAAATTTGTGTCCTGTAGGCTAATAATGCAGAATATAAATAATAAGTGGTAATAATAATACAGATAAGCAAAAATATGGGCAGACTGTAATAAAGGTCTCTGTGGGGTAAGAAATAACACTGGAGTTATGCAGCATTCTGCATTTATATTAAATGAAAAAGGAATTTCGGGTTTAAACCTCTTTTGAATTGTATTTCAGGGATTTTTCTCAGCATTATCCTGTTAAACCCGAAATTCTAACTACAACATAAAGGGAATCCACTTACAGGCCCTTCCCCACCACACACTGCAGTCAACTGCAATATCAATGTCTTTAACTTTCTGTAACAAGACACTGCTCTTTTAAGATGTATAGATTTATGAGCTAGCAAATATGAAGCTGGTTGAACTTGCTTTTGCTTAACAAATATCATAGGACTTTCATGGTAGTAGTTTCGTAAGGAAATTGAATAAAGCATTTACATAAATTATGTGATACATATATTTCTTGATTTACTGAGTTCATTTCTCTAAAGAAAAATACACCATGTATATGAAATGCTTTATGGTACTCAAGGTGTGATTTGTAAAGCATCCTGCCAAGGGTCCGGCAGGAAGGCTCATCCTTTTGTAACGTGACCCATTCAGTAACAAGGGTCTAAGTCCTCCATGACTGACTGACTCTGCATGTGGACGGTGCTGCAGCTGATAAGGGTGGGGGCTGGGGCGTAGATGGTCAGTACTGCGCTTTGGAAATGGATAAGTCGAGAGTGAGATTCCAGTGGTAAGAACAGAAGGAGCTGAATGAACTAATGTGGATTTTAAAGGAGTCATGCTGGGGTTGAATGACAGGTGTCTAGGGGCAAGTGTGTCAGTGTTGGATCAGTAGCTGATTGAAATATGTGTTAAGGAAGCGGTCTTAGTACTGTCCAGGTCCTTGACTTAGTGCCATGGGTCTTGGCGGTTTCTGAGCTTCTGATAATACGACCTCTAGGATATTTGCTGAGGTTTGAGATGTACATAATAAGTGGAAATCCTTCTAGGAAACTATCAGCTGGTTATCATCACTTTTAAGGGGCATACAATCTAGCACTGAAGGCAGTGCTAGATTGTATGTAATCCCTCTGTCATGTGATTTGTTAACCTAGAAAGAGTGAACAGTAATAGCGCTGCGTGTGAGCGGCCATTTTGTGTGTACCATTTGGCTCTCGATCACGCTCAGGGCGCTAAAGTCACTTGCTGACTCCGCTGTTTCCACGGTGACCGCAACTGCCATGTCCCCCTGCAGCCACAGAACCCTGCTGCCAGCTCCCGTCAACAACGTGCCTACGCTGACCATGCGGGCAGAGTCGCACCATGGGTTCCATTCCCCGGCGTCGCTGCATTGTGCCACCCAGCTATGGGACCAAGCAAAGGACTTGATCTCCATTGCTCAGACTTTGCAGTACTTGAACGCCTCAGGTACAGTAAACCTTTTGAGCCCATTAACCTCAGCACGCGTGTGCGTACCCGTGACACATAACAAATCTTTGTTGACCTGTATTGAGATGTTCCTTCTTAATCAACTGGAGTATGTTTGATGAATAAGTCCAAGAGTTGCTTCCTGTAAATTAAAATCTGTTGTGTCGTTAAAGGCTGAAGCGGATCAGTCTCTCAAAGCAACCGAACAGAACAAAAATGAGGGTTTCATCTGTTCTTCTGCAGGTTGGTACTGGGGGCCCATTTCAGCAGGAGAGGCCCGGACCATGCTGCAGGACACCCAGGAGGGGACCTTCCTCGTGCGGGACAGCAGCCACCCCCAGTATAGGCTGACCTTGTCAGTAAAGACAGGACGTGGCCCCACCAACGTGCGCATTGAGTACAGTGAGGGCCAGTTTCGCCTGGACTCTAGCAAGCTAGCCAAGCCACGGCTGCAGGCTTTCCCCGACGTGCCCAGTCTAGTGCAGCACTACGTGAAATCCAACCGTACAGAAGAGGACAGCCAAGGCCACACCCCCAGCCCCACCCCGCCACTGCCCACGCCCAAGGAGAATGCACTGCTACTGAAACTGGTCAAACCACTGCTACGATCACCATGCCCCTCCCTACAGCATCTAACACGCCTTGCCATCAACCGCCTCACTCCTTGTCCAGACCAGCTGCCTTTGCCTCGCCCACTTTTGCTCTACCTTAAGGACTATCCTTTCCAACTGTGAGGGTCTTGGCACCTCCTCCCCCAAGCCTGTGGAACACTGAGCATTTCGGTCTTACGTCACGTTCTGTGAGGGCACAGGACTAACGCAGGGTGTGGAGACAGGCGTCTGTTTTATGGGAACACTGCTGGGCAGATTCCAGAGAGGACACTTGACTGACACTGTCTCAGACGTTAATTTGGTCATATTTTAATTCTCTGTGAAGTGTAGCTTCGTCCATGTCTTACACAAAAAAGCCACAATACAATTGCACATCATGGACATAAAGCTGGACTCAATATTACCTTATCTATTCCACCTGTGCCTCCATTGTTGTCTTATAAAATGGTTCTTTGTGAAGACCTTTCTGGTTTTTTTTTCTCCAATCAGTTAGGATTCATGTGATTTTTTTAAAAATCCCACTGTGTGGGTGTTTGTACATAACTGTATCTTTGTATTTTTTAGTAAAAATGATTCACATGAATTCTATGCATTTTTCTATTTCATTCTTCCTTAGATGCGTTGCTGTGTATTACTTGATTTCCATGATAAAAAGGCAGTTTTGCACATTACAGATGCTGAAGTTATGGAATACTGCGCACAGAATTATGCCATTGCACTTTTAAGACAACCATGTCAATATATGGTTTGTATTAAATAATATATTAAGGAATGCTATATTAAGGAATGCTATATTAAGGAATGCTATATTAAGGAATGCTATATTAAGGAACTGCTCTTTGTGTTCATATGCATATAAGAAGTAGAATGTCTGCTAAATAAGTTATAAATATATTCTGTATGTTTACATTTTTAATATAAAAGCTGATGGTGGCCTAAAGATAGAATAACAAAATTTTTATGAGAATTGAAAATATGTAGCAAACACCAAAGAGGGAACTTGGGAGAAGCCATTTGAAATAGATCTAGTGTCCCTGGTATTCAAAGTCTGCTTTTTAAAATCCATACCAGACCCTGTGATTTCTACACTGGATTTCCTTTGAGCTTTCAAAGAAGCTTTGTACTGTAAATACAGTACAACAGCTTACAAAGCAAAACAATACAGATGACACTGATATGTCACACAGAAAGAAATGTTTGCCAGATATGACGTTCCTGCCATAGATTAGGCACTGCTCGTCTGCAACAACCTGCACTATGACTTGCACAGAAGTCGCATTTTTTTCCGATTTGTTGAAACAATGCAAATCGATCCTATTTATTTATTGTATTCCGCAACATAAATACATTGCGTATAGCTGGAAGTTATTTAATTTGGAGCCCTGAGGGTCAATAAATAATGAATACCAGGCAAAAGTAGAGGCAGATGTGCCTGAGGATGAGGCCATGTAGGTCAGTGAAGTCTTCGCGGTGCTAGACTGAGGCTGCGTAGGCCATCAGTTTGGCTCTCTCACTTATTACCAGAGCGCCCTTTCACCATGTGGTTCGCAGACTAAACATGTGGTTCCAGGAAGCGTGAGATACAGGGAGGGCTGATTCCAGGAAACTGTGCTGTAATTACCTTCAGCTACACTGCACTCTACTTCCAAGAACTGAAGAGATGGGGGGGGGGGGGGGGCAAAGACAGACATGCGCACTCATGTGCGCAGACACAAGCTGCATCAAAATCAGGTTTATTTGGACTGGGACACTAAGGTCTCTCAATTGCTTGTATTCCACCCTATTCGATTTGAAAATAAATACGAGACTAACCGATAAGGATCTTTTCTAGGGGTGAAAAGGAATGGTAAGTGAATCCATATCAGGGATGTGCATTTATAAATCTAATTCCCACCCCCAAAAAAAAAAATAGAAGCATGGGCTTTTATTCTTGTACTGAAGACACCAATAAACATTATGCTCCCTGAGAGAGAAGAGATATGATGATCGTTTCCCGTTCTGTTTCTTGCTTAGTGCTTATTTTGTGAATAATAGGTCCTATGCCAATACGCAACGGTTGGAAAGTGCCAGGTGAAACACAAAGAGGAAGCTTCTGGTCCAAGGGCATTATTTTTAGTTCTACACCTGAAGAGGTAACCCCCCCCCCCCCAATGTCAGCCCCAGTGCTAGTTTATAGTGTCACAGAGGGCTATCGGGAAAAGCTTTGATTCATCAAGCCATCAGCTCTGGGTCGGAATGCTCTGTGCTCTGTCGAAACAGCTGAGAGAACAATGAGACAAGAAGAGGTTGAAAGGGAAGAACAGGAGGTGACTGGGGGCAGTGAGACAGGGAGTCGCATTCATCTGTACGTCCTTCATCTCTCTAGGCCAAAATGAGCTTATCACATGGACTGTCCTAATCTGTGGGACCCTGAAACGCGGTCCAGGCTGACACACTAAGTAAACAACCCCGGTCACAGATTTACATATTTCACACTCAAGTTAATTTTGTACCAGACTCTACTGAAGTCCGTCTTTTTCACAGTTTTTTAACCGAATATTTACAATAATTTTTTAAAGAGCCATGACTTGTGTAAACACCTGTTTTTCTGAGTTTCCTGAATATTGAGCTGACATAAATTCATTATGTACCGTAATATTTTTAGCTTCACAGTTTATGTAAACACTACTACCTCACCTGCATAACCAGGATTGGAAACTGGAGCTAACTTCTCTGTGATGTCACAGTGGGTCTGGAACTCACCTCTCTGTGACGTCACAGTGGGTCTGGAACTCACCTCTCTGTGATGTCACAGTGGGGCTGGAGGTACTGCAGTCCCCCTTCCCTGTTTTGCTCCACAAAATTTGGAACCAGAGGAGGATATTGTAGGTGCACCATCATGAATGTGCCAACCACGCATTTTCTATGTTGGCATTCATAGTTGTTCGCTGGTGTGACCTGTTGAAGCTCACAATTCAGAAGCTGAGCTGGTTACACTTGTCCCAGTTTGTGGTCACAAGATGCAAGTTAATACAAAGCAAACCACAGTACCATCAGAACATGGTTATTTGTTGCCTGTACCATTTAAAACCTGAGTTATAGTCCACCCAGGCAAGCACACTAAGACGACTCTGGTCCCCTGTCCACGCCCCATGTTTCTGTGAAAATGACTTGATGGGGTTCTATGAAATGTATTTGTGTGCAGGTGGAAAAGCGTCTTAGTGAGATTAGTGTCTGAGCTGCACTATAAATAGATCAAGGAGGATGCTGGTTTATTCAAGTACCAAACACAGACACATACACTGTTTTATGTATAAAACAATACAAGGCATTGTCCACGCCCAAGCAGTGTGCTATGCTGCAGTGCCTTATAGCAACCACCCTTCCCTGATGATTGTCTCTCATGGTCTTGGATGACTGCTTAGTCACAAGATGTAGCAAATGGGTAATGGTAGGCTGGAAAAAGGCGGAGAACAAGTTATGAACCAAACAAAGCAATATTACAGGAGAGGTTGAATTAGGACACTGAACAAAGTCGGGTTAAGAAGTCAGGAATCTGGAGCGAGGGATCAGAATCTTTATTGTCACATGACCAAGGCCGATGGAAGTCTATGTTGGCACAGCTTGCTATAGTTGGAGACACCAAGACAATAGACAATTAATAATTAGGGCATAAACATACAATGAATAAATAAAAGAAGCTTAACTGCAAGATATGTGATAAATACAGTAGCCTGTGCAAATTTAAATAGTGCAATGCTGAAACCTGACACAGATACAATAAAGATTTCTGTATACAGATAGTTTTCAGTCACACAATGAGCTCGGATGGTAAAAAAAAATCCTTCCAACATAGTGCCAACACTGGACACTCCACCGACCTGGGACACAGGTCGGTTAATTTTCCATCTGTTCTAAGAAGAGAATATTTGGATCACTTATCAACAGAAAACAAACTGCAAATTTTGGGCACTTGCGATCCCTACACCACACCCACCACAGCAATTCAGTCAGTAAAAACAGCAAAGTCCCCACCAGGGCTCCACATTGGCGACATCTTCTTATATCTTGTGGAGAATCCTTCCCCTTACACTGCCCCCAGCACGAAAGCTTACAAAAGTACGGACAGCTACGGTACATGTCTGTCTATGTCCAACATATCACATTAAAAGCATTAATGAATACCCTTTTGCTTGCCTCTCCATATTTGTGCATCAGAATGATTGATCGATAACCAGATAACTGTTAGCTTTCAGCATAAGAGAGAGAACCTGCACAAACAATCAAGCTCCACACACATATAGGTAGGCGTGGAAACCACATTCCAAACCTCCAGGTGTGAGGCTATAAGGTCAGGTCTGGTTGGGGAATATGTGCTGATGCAGCACGTTGCCGCACCCATCATAGAGCGAAACTCCTCGGGATCCCAGTCAGCGATCCCCCAGGCAGGTATGTGGTCCAGTCCCACCCTCCGGAAATGGCCATCCATCTGCCGCAGCCAGGTGTCACGTGGGCATCCCCTTAGCCTGGTCCAGCCGCTCGGGGCCTCAGCAGTGAGGATCCTGCGAGCCGGATCACCCTCAGGGAAACGCGCCACATGGCTGTAGTGCCGTAACTGACGCTCCCTCACAATGCAGGTAATGTGCCTCATTCGGGACTCCTCTAGCAACCGCTGGTTCGACACAAAGTCGACATAAGGTATATTAAAGCATATGACTTTTTCAGGTTGGTTCAGGATGAGAATCAGGTGGATAATAATCAGGGAGAAGTTATGGACGTTTTCAGTTATATTTGCATGTTACAAAAATGCAGATGCATTGCACAAAAAACAGCATTTTATTGAGACACTGAAAAGGTGTAAATAAAGGTGAAACATGTTCTCATTTCTCTTCATGTTAGACCCAGAAAGTTGTTGTGTTGATTTCTTGACTCATTGGGGAGCAGCAGCTCAATGGTTGTGGGATTGAATCCCGACCTCTCGTTCTCTCTCTGCACTTCTCTCTTTCTGCAACTGAGTCTATACGCCCCCTGTGATAGACTGGCATCCTGTGCAGGGTGTACACTTGTATTGGGCTGCCCGAGAACCCTCCCCAAATCCCCTACAAGCCTGTGCTGTTGTTTTGGTAAGACAGATAAGAGCTGAAAAGTAACTTTTGTAAGCAGGTAAGAAAAACAAATTCAAATCAATCATATGCCATTTTCAATCACGGCTCCTCTTGTAACATAACTATAGTAAGCGTAATAGGATTACTATTTAAAAAAAATAAATAGTCTTATTTTCTTCCTGCCTGTTGCGAACCAAGTAGGACCAATTTTTCTTCAAAATGCACAAATACTCAAAAAAAAAAAAAACAGGTAAGACAAAGCCAAAAAAGGGGGTCCAAGAGTTTTGTTTTGAGCTGAGGTTTAGTCTACAAACAAAACAAACCAGAGGTACTCTGGTCTGTCTGTCTGCATCCAGCCTCTGAATGTCCTCTGAGCTGTTGCAACATGTAGCTGAGTGAAGAGGTTGAGTTGGGGCAAACAGAGGTGAATGGGGGTAATGGGACAGGCAGTCACATTCACCTTTCTGGGCCTCAAATCACAAACAAGCTCCCATGTCATACACAATCACATACAAGGTGCTGTATTTCCCACAAATGTTTCATCCCGTCTCTCCCATTCTCTCAGGTGATGCTCGGTCTATCGCTCAGGCCGTGTTTTCTGCAGGATGCTGAAACGCGGTCTGGATAGAGAGACACCATCGGCACAGAATAAGTTACTAGGCAAACAATCCCAGTTACAAATGTCTCTGTTACATATGAAAGTTATTTTTGTAACTGGCTCTCTCTAGTGAAGTTCCATTTTCACTCGTGCTTTCATTTAAATTCAAACCTGTTGCAAAGTCTCATTCCTGAATGTTAAAGATGTGTGTATGTATGCACACTAATAATACACCACTGAAATTCACCACATCACATAACCATAATACTTTATTTACAGAGTCAAACAATGTGTTGTCAGAAACTGTAATCACTGAGAACCTAATATTCACTTATCTCTGATGTCATAGAGAACCTAATACCCACCTCTCTGTGATGTCACAATGAGTCTGGATGTACTGCAGTCCCACTTCCTTGGTCTCCTCTACATACTGCTGAATCAGAGGAGGATGGCGAGGGTCCACCTCCAGATATACCCTTCTACAAGAGGAGACGGAGAAAAATAATGTAAGTTACATTAGTACTGAGAATAACACTATATTCTAAGCATAGTGGCGGAATAGATGTGCATCACAAACCAAGGAGTATAGATATAGTGTTTCCACAAAAACAGATTTCTTACACTGAACTCCCAAAATGCATTAAATTAGCACTCTGAAAGGTTGTCTGATTTTGTGTGTGGTCCTAATGCTGAACTACTTATCCTGGTCAGAGTCATGGGAGAAGGAGAGGTCTGGCTAGCACTTGTCCCTGAGAACACAGGGCAAAAGAGTGGGATGTACCATTGACAGCAAGCCAGTCCATCACGGGGGTCACACACACACACACACACACACACACGCTAGCAGCTTAGAGATGTAAATGAGCCTAACTGCATGTCCTTGGACTGCAGGAAGAAGCCATAATACACATATGAAACTTGTGTGACACGGGGGGGCTTTACACAGAGAGCAGGGCTGAGATCTCTGCCCCCACCCATGGAGGTGTGAAGCAGCAGTGGTACACACTGTGAGCCACCATGCAGCCCAACTATGATACGGCTTATCGGAAAAACAAAGTCATTAGCACAAGCTTATTTGTTGTGTGTATTTCTAGAAAACCGAGCGACAGAATATCCAGGCAAGTCCACCAAGACAACTGTTGCTGGGCAGAGCCTAAAGTCTCCAGATCATGTCCCGGGTTTCTGTGAAAATGTTTTTCTGGAATTGAGCATCTGTTTCCACGAAGCGGCTCCGCATGCAGGCCAGAAAGCCCGTTTGGCGGGATTCGCGTCTGAGCCTCGCTACCAAAAAAGCAAGGAAGGATACTCATCTTTATTTGTACACCCCACACACAGACATGCATATGCACCATTTATGGAGAAAACAACAGGTTCACAGAAATACTCCCAGGTGATAAAGTCCTACCCCAGGTCTTTAAGGAGATGTGGGGCAAGAGATAAGATTTGTCGTATAATCTGGAGTCCATCAGCGCCCCCATCCAATGCAGCCAGGTCTTCAAACCTGTTTAGAAACACAGTATGAATAGGTGTCATCTTTTTAAGGCAGGTAAAGGTAACCCGTGATGGTCACAGATCTGTTCCACACAGGTTATGACTGTACAAGGGTGGTAGATCTGAATCAGAGGTGTTTTTGAGGAAGGAAGGTCTGTATAAGGGAAGTGGAGTCTCTGAGGAAAGTATGTATGCATGAGAAAGGTGTGGGTGGTGTGAGGCTCTGTGGGTTAGGACTCTGCGACTGTGACCAGAAGGTCACAGGTTCAAATCCTGTGGTTGGCTGAGAGATGCCAATGGTGGGCCCCTGAGAAAACCCTTAACCCCAACTGCTCCAGGGATTGGCTGACCACGCCTTCACAACTTAACGATATTTAATAAGTGTAAATGTAACGGATCTTTATGCAAGGTAAGTTGTTATAGGTAGATTCTCTCACCAGTGACATTTCACATAGTGTACAATATTCATAACTGCATCATTCACACAAGCTAGTGAACATCTGTTCATCTCATGAACAACTAATTAGCTGTGGCTGAGTAGTAATGTCACCCTCAAACCTGTGAGTTATAACAAAATGTCATTGTCAGATAACTAAAGTAGGAACTAACTGAACAAACAGTATCAATAAAATTCAAACTGATTAAACTTGTAACTATTAAACGTAACTCAAAATTTTTGCGAAAATATATCTCACTGAAGGATTTCCGGTTGCAGGGAAGCCACGTCCTGTGAGAACAGGTAGGGGGGATTGCTAACCAGGACGTCGACAAGACCGCACTCCCGCAGAACCTTCTCTGCATCTGAAAGAGTCGTGAGAGTCGGGAAATTACAGTGAGACCCATATCCATCTCTGACACAGTCCCCGGCTCATACAATCATGCTACATTTAGCTCTGTTTGTTACTGGGACACCTAAGCACCTGGTTCTACTGGTCAACTGATCACCAGGCTGTAGATTTTGTGCTGGAAAAATAGAGCTGTCCATCTCAAGCCCCTCCCTCCCAAAGTCTATGGTTGTCTACGGAAATGAAAATTGTCCTGCATGTCGCACATTTTCTTCACACTGTCCCAATTAATCAACTTGATCCCCGTGTAAATTTATTATTGCACTCTTTCCATAACTGATATGCATGTTCATTAAAGCAAGGCAAACGTGTCCATTTGCAAGCCAACAAAAAGAACGATTTCATGGTAACACTTTCCTTAAGGCCATGTTTTTAGTCATTTATAAACATACTCATAATGCATACTTAAAGCTTTATAAACATGGATATAGAGTCATGATGCATTATGACTGGCTTATAATGTGAAGTGAAAACAGTTATGGCAGTTATATGTCAGGTAAGGTGTATGACCAAATTATTGTATACGGAGTGCATAGAAAACAAACAGATTTACAAACAAGTTTAAAGCAGCAAGTGACAGTCAGATATCAAAACTACAGCCACTCATCCATCTCATCCACCACATCGTCTGCTGTCATGCATTTTCATGAGGTTGTCCAGACTCGTAAATGTATTTAGACTATAAAGTTCCTTCTCCTACATTTCATGACATTCAACTGGTCCACTTGGAGTGGGTGACTGTAATTCACACTACCTGGCAAACACATATGAACATAACACCCTAATCAAGTGCTTTCCACGAACATAGGTGTCAGAATTACAGTTAATAAAAACTCATAGCCACCTGTGCTGTAAAATGAGACCTAAATCTTAAAACTATGTGCAGTTTATAGAGATACTGCAAACAGGAGGGAAAAAAAGAATCACAATCTTATTATAACCCTTGAGGGGATCAAGAATTGGAAGTAACAAGCATAATACTACAAAAAAAAAACAGTTTAAATTCTGTCCTGTCAGTGACAAAGATATGTCGTCACTTCATCACTGGAGGTAAACATTACAGAATCCGAACATCATCAGTTCTCTGAGTAGAGAGCCCAAACTCTACTCTAGCGGATGAAGTACAGGCTTTAAGTTTTGACGTGATTTCTCTCACAACTGGCTAAAATGCTGTTCATACACACATCTATAGACCCTAATGCCAACAATGCCAGCTAATGACAAACATTTTCCACTTTTTTCCCCATATACTCACCAATATTTCCCAATTGTTGATGTCATAAACAGAACTTTTTATAATTTCATTGTGAAGGTTTTGTTACAGACCAAATGTATTGGACAGCTGAGCACCCAGAAAAACTATAGTGTTGTCTAAAGCAGTTTTATGGGGGATTTCTCAGGCCACATCACCCTGAAATATCACTCTGTTCCTTCTGATAAGCTTCCCCACAACATCTCACCCTTGCAATATGCTGAGCGCGCACAGGGAATCTCTCCGTGACCTAAATATAACGTTTATGAAAACGCAGAGTGTTCCTTACCATTTTAAGTCACCGATAAGGCTGTAACCATTCATTAATAATGTTTTCAGACTTATCAATAAAGGGGAAAAGAAAAAAAAAGCTTGGTGTGACTCTTTGTCACGTTCGGCGGACGGGCGACCGAGGAAGTAGGCGAGAGAGCCGTAACTTCAGAAATACGGGGTTTAATCGGGGCAGACAGGCAACGAACATTAAACAATACAATGACGGATCTGGGGAATACTGATTGAGACATGGACTAAATACACAGGACAAGTCAAAAGGAACAGGAAACAGGTGATGACAATCAGGGATTAACATGAGGTAACGAGGTAGGCGTGGCACACACGAGGATCGGACGGCGCTGGGCGTTACACTCTTACCCAGCATCACATCCAAATGGATCACCTGCAGTCTGTCCCGGAGGCCGAGTCTGTTGATACACAGGTTCAAACGTGAGATCAGCACACGCTGTTATGGCTGTATTGTGAAAAACAGGAGCCTAAGGGTTAAGTGTAATGCAATGCTGTCAGGAGATGCCAAAGACATGGCAGCCCAGTGTATCCAAGGACTGAGTAATAGCCAGTGTGCGTGATGTGCAGGCATGTATGTGCCAGGGCTTCACAGCCAGCTCTCAGATCAGGAATGCCCAGGCGTGACATGTGACATGACCAAAAGGTCAGTCTGCTCCATGCCCTGTTCATCATAAGTGCCAATGATGGTCAAAGACTCAGGACGTGACGAAGAACAGCATGCCTGTATTTCCCCTCCTATTTGTTTTCACAGATCCTCTGTTATTACGATATGTCCACAACCGTCCTGAGGGTCAACAATGGCCAGTCATGGGACGGCGTCAACCAGCATCTTAAGTGCCAGAAGGGTTTCAAGTGAAAGCAAGAGGGTAAAGAAGGAAGGAAGGAAGGAAGACAGACAGACAATGGGGGAAAGAACCAAAAATTCCCAAGTTGGGAGATAAAAAACCCAACCCCCCAGGCTAACATTACACAAAACAGAAAAAAGGTCCTGCTTTAATAAAAGCAAGATGTAAACCGAAGTCATGGCCAAAGCCAAGAATCAAGAGGGCAGGTGTGCGAACCAGGCTGTCAATCGGTTTTCCACGATAGCCATGGCCAGCTCGATATGGCCAATCCCAGCTTGTAGCAATGGTACCTGTGTGCATTCTCACTGGTCAGATCCACAGCTGCTTTATTTCTGTCCAGGGCTATGACCCGGAGCTACAAGAGACAGAGAGGTGGTTCAAAATCCTAGTTACTGCTCAGTTTTGGATGAGGCCCAGAGAACGTAACATTAGTACAGTGATGGACTGTACTGTAAGTCAGTCCTGATTTATGAAAATCTCAATTAAACATCATGCTTAAAACTACAAGAGGCTTTGAGGCTCAATGCAGATTTCATAATAACAATAAAAATGACATTGTTATATAGATGGCAGCTTCATGAGTGTTTCTGCTGTTGCACCCTTCAACTTCTTAGTCTATCTGGCTTTATACATGGATTTAAAAATCTGCTTTGAATAAAAATACAGGACTGCTGTTAGTGTATTACTGCTGTTCTTTTATAAATTATAATGACACTAACGATAGTACAAAACATGTGTCTCTATTGATTAGAATATTTTTAGCCACACATATTACATAATTAGAGAATTAGAAAAAGTCTTTCTGGCTATTAGCCCATTCATTTGATCACACTATAATGTTTGACTTTACCATCAAAGCACTCACCCGTGGAAGGTTCTGGAGAAGACTGAGAGATATTGCTCCAGAACCACAGCCCACTTCCAGAACAGTAAACCCAGCCCCCCATGCTGGCTGAAGGTCTGAAAGCACGAAGCTAACAAGGTCCTGTTGAATTATATTCACACATAATCAAGCAGTTTCCCCCCTCACTATATAAATTATTTCAAGATGGCGAGTTAGGCAGTGTGGAAATAGCAGGAGTTCATGACCAAAAATAATTCTCTCAGCTGTTTTGTTATAGAAATGCTGTGTGTGCATGTTTTTAATCTCAAACTGCTAACCATCTCAGTACTGATAGAAAACTGTTTAACTGGCAGAAAGTTGTGTTTAAATGTTCAGGCAGACTGACAGCACACACTGTGCATACCATCAGTTTAGAACCAGTGATGCGCAACAATATATAACATACAAAACAAACACTCCCCCTGGTGGACCGTAAAAGAAAAGCAACCATGGATCCAACCCACCATAAGCTCTGCTTGTTCAGAATTTTGCAAACATCCTTACCTCTGTCTCAGGTCGTGGGATAAAGACAGGTGGCCTCATCTTCAGTGTGATGTCCCTGAAGTCCCATTCTTCAATGACATACTGCACTGGCATCCTGGGTACGTCACGCATCCAATAAAAACACCAGCCACTCCCCAGAATTCCGGAAAACCACACCTAATGCAGGTGACGCTGCAAAGGTGTAGAGCGCTGCGCTACCTGGAGAGGCGCCTTCCACAGAGCTCCCAGACCCGCTGCATCTGCGCATCCGTCAGTGTCTTACCCAGAATTCCCGGCTCAAGGTTGGCCATCTGAGCAAAGGTCCCAGAAAAAATAACTTAAAAAATTTATCCCAGGTGAATGAAAGAGACCACATGCTGTATGTAAGTGATTCTAAGATTACAGCAATTAGTACAGCAAACACTAAAAATGAAACTTTTATCATATCATTCAATAATGAAATACTACAAAAGACTTTGGCATTTTCTTTTTTAATGTGGTCAAAATAAGTTTTATTCAAAAGTTAGGTTCAACCAAGTTTCAGCAAAGTTATGTGTTATGTAGCCAAAGAGAGTGGCTGACATACTTTCGAAGCCTGCTCTGTACACTCTTTCATAAGGAGGAAACACAAAGAGCAGAGCAACAAACAGCACGAGTCCAGAAGAAGCTCCTCATCCCCGCACAGCCAAACCATCCGCACCGCACCGCCACTCCTCTCTCCCTCGCACTCACCGTTTTGGCTCCCAGCACGTGTGCAACAATGTACTGACTGGAGGGGCCGGGCTCCGAGACTCCGGCCTCCTCAAACCTGCGAGCCCAGACATCCGCAGCCTGCTGCACACTGAGCCGCACGTCGGCAGCAGCACACAGACCCTGGAGGATCCCGGGGAGAAAAAGAAACTTCCGGTTAACTTTAAAACAAGATGTTTTTTTTTTCTATTTGATATATTTTTGATTTTGGCAGATTGTATAGCACTTGAGTCAACTGGGGCTGTTTTTCAATAATATAAATAAATACTGACTTGACTTACTAAATCTGACAAAATTAGGAACTATGGGTAAATCTGTCATGCGTAAATAAAAGAAACTAACAAGAATCATCATTTTGTTATTCATATTTTTACATTTATTACACATTTCAGAGGCAAATTCTATGCTTTTTCAACCACAACTTGGTCTGACCAGTAAAGTAATTTTATTAAGCTATATGTAAACATAAACCGACACATTTGTCAGCTCAACTCACTTCAATTTAAAACCAAATGTTGATAATAATTCGCAATAATTTTGAAATAAAACAGGTTTGTGTGTGTGTGTGCATGACACACAAATTAAGTTTTATCAAATACATTTCCCCATAAATACTGAAAGCTTCATCATTTGTACGTTCATCGGGCATCCTTTTTGTGTCGTTTCATCACCTACCTGTTGTCTCCTGTGTCCTGTATGAAGATGCATTAGCCGCCTAACGCGACCATATATCCTGGAAAATGCTTCCATTGATTTGGTATCGATCACCCTCAACCCAAGTGCAGAGGTTCACAGCGTCAACCTCTAACCTGCTACACAGACAAAACAAAGTAGCTAAATGTCAGGCGTTGTGCACGTCACTGAGCAACTATACAGCACAGCAGCACAAGGTAGAGTTGTTGTCTACTACTAGTCCTAGAAACTGACCTTTTCCTGAACACAAAAGCTTCAGATACACTGAAAGGTTTCAGAAATGCTTTACATTCTCATGAAATATTATTTCGTGACTGTGACAAATCGGTGCTATAATACAGTAGAATTTTTCGCTACATAGTAAACAACACATCCCAGATATGGAATATATTAAAATCCTCTAACTGATTTTCCTGCCAGTGCCAACGTTTACTTGTATGCATTTTCCCCACATAATAAGCCTAGGCTGTCGGAACCAGACCTTAAGATACCCCGGAAGTTCTCCCCAGAAATAACCATGTGGTACTGTACATAACGAGGATGGGATCGGCTTCTTAGATGTATATTGTATTGTTACATAGTATTAAAGTATGGACTCACGTTTTCAAAATGCATGACTGACAAAACAGTTATAAAAATGGACGCGTTGATTCCAGCATCTCAAAAGCAGCCACCTTCCTGGTATTCTCATGTACTGCAGTGTCCAGAGAATGGTGTGATGAAGGAAAAACATCCGGGCGGTGGCATTTCTGTGCCGAAAACGCCCTGAGAATGGCCAGACTCGTTAAAGCTAACAGGAAGGCCACACGTGCAAAAGAACAGCAGCAGTGTAGTGCGACAGTGCACAATGATTCTTTTCAGTGAAAGCATTCTTTCGGTTCCTTTATCTAAATGATTCTTACAGAATCGTTCAGTTTCCTTTTCATCCCCTGGGCGTTGTTACGTTTACTTTTTTAAAATATAGTATTACGCTAGTTTTACATTTATTAAATGTTGTATCTATTATGTATATATAACTAATAATACTATGTATTTGTATACATGTCATATACTTTACGTCGGTTAAATTCTTTCCACACTGACTTTAAGCAGTTTGTACATTTCACCAATGGGTGGCGAAAGAGAGCGTGTCATGGTCGTGAACGAAATCAGTGCAGTGCCCGAGGTCGTTTGGTTCACTATAAACGATTCGTTAAACAAAACAAATCGTTCAAGACGCTAGTCTGGTGCGCATAATGGCTTTTCTAATGCACATCTAGTCTACCCTTGAAGCGGGTTTGGGAAGTGGGTCTATATGGTACTAGCATGATGTACCAAATAAAATTTATGTGGTACAAGTCAATAATTTAATCTATTTGCAATTATGTTAAAGCATCAAGACAGTTTAAGAAAGCTATACGAAGTTAAGCAAAGAAGAGTATATTTAAAGTCATTATCAAAATTTTACTGCAATTAAAGAATTTGTTTTGTCTGCATTTTCAAGGTTAATATTTTAGATATTTTACAATAATGTGGTCGGTTAACGACACTATGAACAAAGAAAATGTATGCATTAGATTGCATTCTTAATATTGTATCAGATGCGCTGGTCGTAGAATGTGGAAAAAATGTAAAATGACGAGATTATTCAGGTCTTATGTCTTCTAAACGAGAATGCCGATACAGCGCGTACCACCCCCTTCCGTCTCCTGTCGTGTCCGCGCGTGGTCCGTGTCTGGACCGCGCAGGCGTGGCTCATCCTCGTGCCCGTCGGGTCTACCCCCTCCCGCCTTGAGCGCGCGCACTTTCAGTTATTGTTTCAGCGGAGCTCAGCTAAAGGAGGCTAATCGTAAACACTGGAAGAACGACGGCTGCTTAACTGCGTTAAGTGTTCGTATTAATTGCGGGTAAGACCAAGCTGTACAAACATTTTAAAAGGTATCGTGTGTCTCTGTGTTTTTTAATTTTAAATTCTGGGTGTAGTATGGTAGTTAGTTAACTCGATACTTTTCTCCGTGAACTGATTAAGACCTGAAATTAAACCGCTTTTTCAGTTTTACCTGGTAATTTTTGTTCAAGTTTTGCTCGCTAATCCCGTTGGACACGGGTGCCTCTTTATTTAAGATACTATATAATGAACTTTGTAAGTAAATTACATTATCAACCCCATATTTTTCCGGGGTTCAGTTCGTGGCTAGCTAGCAGCATTAGCATTAGCCGGTCAGGCAGTGTTTTGTTGTAAGCAGTACTTGCTTGTGACTTCTGTCGTTAGGCTGTTAGTTAATGGACGCTAACATTAGCTAGCCGGGCATGCTAAGCGTAAAATCATGGCTCGGGGCACCATTTAACGTTGGATGGTTAGCTGGCAAGTACTGATACCGCAGCAGTGGTGAAAGCCGACTAAACTAATTTGTTATCAGAATATCAAGATAAATCCCAACTCTTATAATTTTACTGTCAAGTCGTTTTTGACTAGCTGGCTAACTTATAACTAACGTCACCTATTTAGCGGACCTTTTTAAAAACAACTCAATACAAATTATGAATACATTTATTTGGTCAGGAGTGTTAATTAAACGATATAAATTTGTGGTCGCTTGATGGGATAACTAGGTTATGCACCTAGGAAAAGTTCAGTCGGTGTTTATCACTGATACCCAGCGTAATGAAACGCTAGCTAGGTAGTATATGTGACTAACCGTATGCGTTACGTTAGCAAAGCTTTCTGGCTGAATGCCGCAAACTGCCAGTTTTCATTCTGTTTCAGCGGACTAGAAGGATTTATGTCAATATCGACAAAACAAATGTCTGTCACTACGGATCATTACCATCTGTTGCAATATGACGCCATCTTGCTCCGGACTTGTGTGACCCACCCTGAATGATGAAAATATGCAGCACAGACCGCTTTCTGTTGCATCGTGAGGTTTATCGTTATTTACTATGACGCCGAGTTTTAGAGTAGACACTTAAATTACGCGAAGACTGTAATATTTCTGTTTAAGTCATGTTAGAATATGAAATTGAGATCTGCAATTCTGAGTGTAATTGAATCATGAAATCTAAGCGTTGGTAATAATGGCTTTGGGATATTATAAGAAGTTCATTATCTACTTGTCTACTTGGGCCACAGCGGGCATTGAACATCACGTTTTGATCTACGTGGAGATTGGCCTGAGCTAAAATAGATTGTAACCTAATATTTTTTCCGTGGAACTATTCTGGCTTTTTTGTTACCTACTTCTGTGGTATGTAACATTTTCTGTACAGAACAGTTTCCTCAGCTTATAGACAACCATTTTCATACCGGGACTGCTTTTGTTGGCAAAGAAAATTTTGCATCACAATTGGAAGACCAATGTAATTTTCTAGTGAACAATTGCTCTGTCTAATTGGTGTATTACAATGAACTTGTAAATGAAATGATCAAAATTGTGAGCTGTGTAGACTACAACTACAGTGGCGTCAGGGCTCATGGTGACCGGTCAAGGAAAATTTGCAAAATTATTCTGCATTTACTGGCACCAAGATCTGTTATGTAGGCATCACCAACCTTTCTGTGTAATTCATTGTATAAACAATTAGCAAGATATTCCACAGCATGTGAGGAATAACATATACATTTCTAACTTTGTTTTAGGTCAATGCACACTTTAGTGGCCCTTCTGTTTTTGGCTGTTGTAGATTTGTTTAAAACAAATCTACATCACCATTCATTCTCAAAGACATGGATTTAAATTTTCTGGTGGTTTCTTTATATCATTGGAGATAGTTAAAATTTCTTGGCATTTAATTGATTATAGTATAAACTAAATTATTTAGCATATTTTGTTTTGGTGTTATTTTATCTCTACTTTTTTCCCATTGGATAGCTTTGTTCTTTTGAAATATGTATTGCGTTTGTGCATTGGTCATGTAAATTTAACGAGAGCAGTATCTCCTGCAGTCATTTACTTTTGCTTCCATTGAAGTGTGCAGCTCAATAGGTTAAATCTATTGTGCATGTGTCATTAACTCATTGTTGTTAATGCTGTACAGGAATGGCAGCAATCAGAAAAAAACTGGTAATTGTTGGGGATGGTGCATGTGGGAAGACCTGTTTGCTCATCGTCTTCAGTAAAGACCAGTTCCCTGAAGTGTATGTGCCCACGGTCTTCGAGAACTATGTGGCCGACATCGAGGTGGATGGCAAACAGGTACAGCATGCTTGCACATACGTAAACTTGTGGACGTAGGTGTCTTGGGTGCAGGTGATGAGTGATGCACTTTTTCAGGTGGAACTGGCACTATGGGATACAGCAGGACAAGAGGACTATGACCGGCTTCGTCCCCTCTCATACCCTGACACTGATGTAATCCTTATGTGCTTCTCTATTGACAGTCCTGACAGCTTAGGTGAGTGTAATTGTGCCGTCCAGGGTCCTGTTGGCTTTTGTTCACCAGTATTACTTTCCCTTCACCGCCTTGATTAGTTGCTCTCCTGGTCAACTAGAGAGCACAACCAACTGCGGAAGTCTTACCCTTTAAGTTCTTATGTCCTCCTCATAGAGGGAGATGAATGGAAAAGAGCTATTAATTTGTGCGTTTTTCTATAGAAAACATCCCAGAGAAGTGGACTCCTGAAGTAAAGCATTTCTGTCCCAATGTTCCAATCATTCTTGTGGGCAACAAGAAGGACCTGCGTAATGATGAACATACTCGCCGTGAGCTGAATAAGATGAAGCAGGTGAATTGTTGTCTGTCTGTCTTTCATGAGGATGCCATGGTACTGATTTGTCTTAGACAGGAATTAAATGGACTTCAGTGTTTCGTGACTTGCTTAATTGATCCTGACTGTTCTGTGTTTTTTGCCACATAGGAGCCTGTAAAACCTGAAGAAGGCAGAGACATGGCAAACCGGATCAGTGCTTTTGGTTACATGGAATGTTCTGCGAAGACCACGGAAGGTGTGCGAGAAGTGTTTGAAATGGCCACCAGAGCAGCACTGCAGGCACGGAGAGGAAAGAAGAGCAGCAAATGCCTTCTTTTGTAGGCAACTGTGGAAGAACTGCTACAAGGGGTGGGGGGGGGTAGCTGATGTCATTGGGTCATAAATGGTGTTGGAGGGGGGGGGGTCACAGCTGGAGGCACAAGTCAGCCTCACACCCCATCCTTCTCCCATCCCTGTCTGCCCACTACCTGCTGGGGCTCGCCTTCCCCAAGCAGATTGCAGAACAACTTTAAAAAAAAAAAACATTATGCTTATGTCTTTCAGTATTTAAGAGGTTACCTGGATGAAGTTGAGACTTTTTTTTGTACTTTACCTGTGAATGCATCTGCCATACCCCCCACTGGCCTGTCTGCCAAACATTTTCGTTCCTAATGGTCCTTGGGAATCTCCAATCGGCATTGTGCTCCCGCGATGTGCAGCAAGAGTTTTTTTTTATTATCTTGGAGTCTATATAAGACTTTTTAAGGAAAACTGTTTGATAGATTAAATAAAGCAATGGGGCTTAACTGACAGGGAAATATGCTAAATGATATTGTTTACGTCTACAGATATATTCATTTAAACACACAGACTGGTCCTAGCATATACTCATGTGTACACATGGACACGACTGGAAACTTTATACAAAGCAGAGGTGTAATAAATTGCTTTTGAATTCTCTGAAATTGTATGCTAGTTTGGTTAGCAGCCCAGTTCAGCGGGCTTAGTTCTAGGGTTGGTGGTTTATGAGTTGTTGGTACATGTCCCAGGATGGGCTGGTGCCGCTGTACCCGATTATGATCTGCAGACATAAACAAAAGTAAGTTTTGATTGAAACCTTGATAAATTTCTACAAAGGTAATTAAAACAACTGAATAAAAGGAAAATCCACCAATTTGTTTCTCCTTTATTCTGTTGCAAATTATTATATTATTGCCTTTTTGAAATAAAATTATTTTTGGTTTTCCTTCCATTTCCTGTGGTGGCAGTGGGAGCTGCAGTTTTATGCACTCTTCTGTCAGGATTTAACCATCTCAGACTTACTTGCTCTCTAACTTTTCCTTGTGTCCCACTTTCTGTTGCTCATCCTACCTAGGGAGCATTTAAGTGTGAAGCAGAATTGATGCAGCTGCCCATGGTACATTTAGCAAAGTAATATTATGAGAACAGCGTAAATGAGCTGCAATCTCTAGAGACGGAGAACCCTATTCACCTGTGTGCTGTAGTAGATCTTTTGGAACTGTTCCCTCGGGGTTCAACACATGGCCCAAAAAGTTACCTGCTGAATTAGAACAGAACTTTTAACAGCTGGGTTTGAATCCTAAAATATCAATATAATGAATCAGCCACTTTATAGCAGTGGTGTGATCTGAATGCTATAGTGATACTGGAACGGAACAAAGTCCCTGCAGTTATGTGAGAAATTTAGTGAATTAAGCTACTGAATGCCTGGGAACCACTCATGCTACGTGTGAGGAGCCATCTGGTGCAGAATAACCACAGATATTATACAGTCTAATTGAATGTCGCTGACCCTAATTTGCACAAAACCTGTCTGGATTATCAGCCTTGCTGAGTGATTGCTGTCACTCCTGTCATTGTGCAAGAAATGTTATTACCTTGACATGTAATGTAAAATGGCATCATTAGCAATAAAGTTAGAAATTAGGGCAGTGCCATGTATTTCATTAAGAAGACTGAGACGGCCTCTTCTGGGTGTTTTTCACTGCAGTACTGAATCAGAGCAGGATTATGTTTATTCGTATTGTTAGAGAGACCAAGTGGAGTCACAGTTCTTCAAATCATCAGATTATCCATCCTCGTCAGCCGTCTGGGGGCTGGAATCTTACTCTCCGAGGACCATGGACTCAGCTGCCTCCAGTGCTGATATTAGTCTGTTCTGTTGTTTGCTCTATTTCCAATTATAATTTAAATCGGATATATCTTGCCAAAATCCCAATTAATTGGTTGATATTCAATTTTGGTTAACAGTGCTACTGGTTCCAAATGGTTCCTTCATTGCTGCGTTTACAATAAGCTCTGGTGATAGCCGTTTACCATGTCTGGATCAAGCTTGTTCAGTTTTCTAATCTTGAAAGAAAAACATCAGAAATATATATTTATAAACATTAATTTCAAAGTTAAACAGAAAGAGTAATCTCACTCTCTCTCTCACTCTCTCTCTCTCTCTCTATATATATATATATATATATATATATATATATATATAGCCAGATTTCTGAAATCACAAAGGCTTTTGGTAGCAGCCCTAAAGAGGTACTTACCTCAACTGGTCACCAGAGGGCAGCTTCCCTTTATCAGTCAGCTTGCGGTACAGGTCTCCGGATAGAGAGCAGTGATCAGTTCATTCATAACTGACAGCACTGGCTGGTTTAATGGATGCAGAATATTAGACACAAAGAAATAAAGTGAATTATAAGCACACTTGATGTTACATAGTAATAATGGCAATGACCGCAAAGTGTGTATGTGTGGTTGGGGGGGGGGTTGTATAGAATATAGATAAGTGAAGGAGACAGAGTGATGAGAATTAAGATGAAGTACTCTAGCTTACAGGTTCTGTTTTTACAGTAATATATATATTTTTTTTACACTGCTGGGAGTTGCCAGGTTTGTTGAGCTTCTGTGGCTAGTAGGAGCATTTCATGAGAGGGAGAGAGAGAGAGAGAGAGAAAGACAGAGAAAGCGAGAGATGGGGATGAGGGTGTGCGCACATGTATGGGGCGTGGCCTGTAATTTGGGATTTCTCCCGCATGCGACAGCCAGCCGTCTCAGAGCGCACGCTGCCTCCGGTCGGAGTCCACAGGAGAACGGCGGTGAGGTAAAGAGGCATCACCGTGTAGAGACTCAGCGGGGACTGACTCTCCCACAGCAGGAGGGGGTGTGCTTGTAAGAGAAGAAGGTGTCTCTGCTCTATTCACTACTCACTGGAGCCATGTGGATGCTAGGTCCTGTGCTGCTCCTGTCCTATCTGGGCAGGGGGCTGACAGGGCCCTGGAGACCCTCTCAACCACGTCTGCAATTCAGCCACTCAGGTAACGTCGGTCTGGGGCTCTCCTGCCTCCCTCGTCCTTTCATCCTCCCTGCTGTCTGTGTCTGTCCATCTCCTCTCTGTCCCACCATACCCTGTCTTCTCATCTGTCCCTTCAGGAGAAGCCGTGCTCCATCACACCACTATACTTTCTCCCCCCTTTATCTTGGGGGGGGGTGCTGTAATACCCCCCAGGGGTGCTTCTAGAGGAGAGGGCTGGAAGTAGGGTGTTTGGTTACACCAACGTGTGCTGGGAGCGTTGCACTTTCGCAGCTATTGTCTTACGCCGCAGTGAGGGCTGTGTTGAATTATAAAGTAGCAAGTCTGCAATGAATGATACAGGCAGTTTATACTGCAAAGCCACTTACCTTTAGTAGCAATTAAATCATAACTAACTTCCTGTGTGCAACTGCTTTTATGTTCTTTTCCCAATACTAAGCGCTCCCAATTCAGGATATAATTATTCATTCACGTCAAAACATGTTCTTTACAAGGAACACGCAGCAGGTCAATAAAATCTAAGACAAAACTATGCATGCATCACCTTGCGCATTAAATCCAACATACATTTTTTTGAAGTGTAATTCAGAGCATAATTTTCTGGAAGATTTTGGCAAGTGGTGGGAAGATTCAAAATGAAAGTAGACAAAACAAAGGGGTCTTTTTATTTATATAATTCGTTCTCCTGGGAATATAGCCTTACTGGCAGATCTGGGTGCTCCTGTTGGCAGCCATTGAATAAGTATGTCAGATATATATACTGGCAGAAGGCCTTTCTGCAGTTTAAAAACAAATAAAAGCAATTGAAGCCTCTAATTCAGTCTTAAGAGTGTAGGAACCCTCTTAGGCAGCAATGGGAGATGGCCAATATGTGCTTCTTTTTTGAGCGCGCGTGTGTGTGGTGGGAAGAATAGGTGTGAATGCCAGTGTGTAGAAGTGTGTGAAATTGCAAAAAGGAACTGGTGTTACATCTGTCCAAAGTTTCCCTGAAGTCAATGAGCGGGCGCTGCTGCTTGCTTGGCCGTCCCCGCGACGTGTCTGACTTGAGGAGCGCGAATTGTTAAGGCTGCTATTTCTGATAGCGACGAAACCCTTACCTGCCTATCCGGTTCCTCCTGGCAATGAACCAGTTCTCTCTGGCCATTCGGTCTCCCCTGGCAACAAGCCAGCTGTACTGGGTGAATCTCTGTTCCATGGCAACAGGTTGTTTTATTCGTCTGGTTGGAGTTTAAAAGCTGCAAGCGGCGGGGTGGCAGGGCGGCCCTGGGGGGTACCGTCACGCTAAGACGAATGCAGTCCGCAATGATATGCGTTTATATTCACACCGGGCCAACTGCCCGGTCTAAAGAGAGCATGTCCGATCAATCAAAATTATGTATTATGTGAATGATCTTTGGGAAAAGTCTGTATACTTCTGTTTATTTCATGTATGGTATGCCCTCTTATGTATCATTTTTAGTCCTAGACAGGGGTGCCATAAAGGGGAGGGGGGGGGGCGGGACAGTTAGGACGATTCTATGACCCCCTAAGTCACAGAGCTGCTTAAAAATGGAACCTAATATGATTGCTCTGGGTTGGGGGCCAATATGATATGCTTTCACGGGGCCCATAATCTCTAACGACACGTCTGGTCATAGACTATATAATGTCTTCTTGATGAAATAACATAGACATATGTGTGGTACGAGTGTTTTACTCCAAAGGTCCATTGTCTCCTGATTCTGGAATGTTCTGAGCTGTATCACAGCTTGCACATTTTCTCTAATCACGGATAGACCCATCAGTGGCAACTTGTGACTCTGGTAATCTAATAATGGCTGGACTCTGCAGGAAGGCTAAAAATATTCTTTTTGTCACCCCGGCCCACTCAGGGCCAGGTGGGTAGGGAGGGCACGTAAGGGTAAGCCGGGGGGGGGCACACAAGGGAGCGAGGGGTCAGTGTCGGACCCTTGCCAAAAGTCCCTGGGAAGGCAGAGTGGGACCTGCAGGAGTGGGACGAGTGTGTTTTTCTTTTGTAATTTGTCTGCATGTCTTTGAACAAAGCCACGCGTAACGTTTGTGTGTGTTATTGTGTCGTCGGCTCGCTTCAGGCTGAGGGCACCTTCAAGGCGTTGCTTAGGTGCCTTGTTACTGTTTGAATCAGATGCGATAATTGTCTCTGGTTCCTCCCTTTCGTCATTCAAAGGCAGCAGTAAAGATGCTTCTGGTTCAGTTTCATCATCTGGGTGGTGCAGGGTACACAGTGATAGCTATTTGATGATTTAGGAGACGCTCGACTTGAATTCATTTTAAAGACCTTCTGTAATGTACCAGTTCCAGATGCGAGAGCAGCAGTCAGTGTGCAGTGATAGACTGAATATTTACAGCAGTCGCTCATGATGAATTGCTTTCATCGACCATGTTAGACCACATGTTTGCTCTTGAGAGATTTAGTTACATCGCCAATTATGCACCATATTTTGGTAGGATTTCAGTAGTGTTTTGGAAAGCCGGCCATTTTTCTTCAAAGAAAGGGCGTCTCCTGTAGAGATTTACTTTAATTGTATTTTGATAAATTTGTGATTAGTTAGTATCTCATAAATCCAGTGTTTTTGCTTTTAAATGGATGGCATTCCACAAGATTTTATTAGCTTTTAATGTCCAGCATTATAGTTTAATAATAAGGATTATATTATTACATGCATTTTATAATGTTCATTCAACTCCGGTGAAGCTCATTTTCTATGTCGCCTTAATTCTCTACAATTCGTGTTGATACAATTTTTACATTTACATAGCTCTCAATGGCTGATATCTCTTTTTTTGTTTTAAGGTCATCATTGGTTATTTATGTCTACCATAAACAGTTATTTATGCTCCAAAGCAAATTTTATGTCTCATTTTCGATTTGGTTTACGGGGTGGGCGTGTGGCTCTTTGAGGTAGCGCTCTGCACTTTTCATCGGAAGCTCACGGGTTCAAATCCCGTGGTGAGCGGCATTAGATCACCATCAAGCCCTTAACACCAAATGTCTCCGATACTGGCTGGCCCTGCTTCCTGGCCCTCACTCGCATGTCAAAAGTGTTTGCTCAATAATTATAATTAATGTAAAGATTTTGTTTAATGCTGTGCTTTAATTTTGTTATCTTTTCAAATTGTGATGTATTAAAATGTCGGATTGTCCATTGCTTTCACAGACTTACACCATGTACCGGTGGGTGATAGTAACACTTATGTTGGTCCCTTATTAATGTAGAAAGCTGTTTAAAGTGATTAGTGTTGGTTGTGTTTCTCACTGTCAGATTCTGTTGCCAGGTTCACATTTGTTGCCACCCTGGGTATGAGCACTGCTCTAGATAGGAGTCTAATTTTTCCCTTGTTCATTCAATGCATGATTGAAGGTCTTCCTCACATTGCTTTTCCCTTATCTTTTTCTCACCAGACATATAAATTGGAAGGGAACACTGATTTAATTTGAGCAAACATGTTTGTTTTCTCGCAGAGCTGGTGAAAAATGGCCGCCTGCTCACGCTGCCCTTGCTGGCTGGGGATCTGTACTCCCTGCTTCCGGACGAAGATCAACAACAGCTTTACGTGGCCATGAAGGACCGTCTGTTGGCCACAAGCTTGGAGGACATCACACAAAGCCCCCGCATGGTGAGCACCTAGAGTCACGTCTGCATTGGGGTTACGGCCCAATATTGGCACCTCAGTAACATGGAAAAACAGATTCTAAATTAAACTCTTGCATGTTTAGGAGAGGACCATGTAATATCTGGGAAAGAACCAAATCATTGTGAAATGTGACATTGTGAAACAGAGGAACACTATAACTACTGAGCTGGTGACAATGCTGTACTAGGGGAAGATGCAGAGAACCAGTAGTACTCTACTGGAACAGATTAAGAGAATCTAAAGAATTACTCTGGAATAAAACCAGAATCATTCTTTTGGCACAGATTCAGTGTAAAAACTGAAACAGAGACACAAAATCAGCGAACCTCAGCTGGGATACAGGAAACTGTCACAAACAGAATCTGTGTAATTCTGCTGACCAGATGAGGACATTTAACATTGAATCATCCACTGCAAACCTATTATCAATGAAACTGAATGCTCTCATTGTAGGGTGCATTCACAATGGATGTTTGAATGGGAATGGGAAATGAGTCCCTCAATACACAATACCCATGCCAACATGAGAAAGATGATTACTACCACACACGCCCTCAGTGTTTGTGCCATTAGTCTCTCTCTTCTTTTTCCTTCATGAGCTTCAATGAGCGCCATAAGGCACTTGGAGAAGAGTGCTTTTCATACTGATCCACCCACACGTTTGCACACACCCATCTGACACTGATACAGCGCAAATTAGATACAGTATAGAATAACTGACAGATGTACAGCACAAGCTAAACATTTGTTAAAACACCGACAGAAAAAAACAGGTTTACGTGATGGAATCGCTATAAAATTTAATGTACATCAAAGCTACAATGATTTAGTACTTTTGGGTTATGAGAGGGAGAGTAACAGGGCCAGCACAACCAGTAACTGTGGTCCAGCTAATGAATAGCATGAAATTGTTTGTGCTGTTATATTTATGGTATGTGGTTTTGATGCAAGGTGAACTATTATGTGAGGAAACCGGCTTCATGTGAAAAAATAACAGGAATTTAGCATGCAAAATGGTGACAGGTGAAGAACCAAGATGAAGAACCAAACATGGCAATGGATAACTGCAGAGATGGATAGTTCAGGTCCAGAAAGTAAAAATCCACACCAAGATTTTGTTTCAACCAACGAGTTGAGTATAAAGAGTCACAGTCACAGAGTACTCAGCTGATTGGAAACAATGGATTTTTACTTTCTGAACCTGAATTATCCACCTCTGGATAACTGGAAGAGCAGGACAGCTGGGAGATGGACCAGGTTGATTTAGCATGAGCTGTATTTGGACATAAAGGAATGCAGTGCGGTAGGAAGACCCTCCCTCAGGACCAGAACTCACCCACTGTACATGGTCACATCTTTACTTTTACACTTTATTCCTTATTTTCATACCTTCATCTAAAAGCCCTCTGTAGTAATGAGTGGTTACAGGCTGGCCAATATCTCCAGGGAAGAGTATAAACAAATATAATAACAGATACTTCCTGGCCGACACACGCACACTCACAGGTGCACATGGACATGCACACCCAAGCACGCACACTCAGAAGGTACAGAAATAGGATGTGGAACACTGCAGGCCTCCTTGTGGGGACACCCCCCCACGCCCAGCAGCCTAATTACTGCAGCTACCCTTTAATTACGCCCTTCTAACCGCCACCCAGGATTCCTGCCATCTAAGCGTTTCCATCAGCTGCCCACATCAAGCGCTCCTCCATCTTTCATTTTCTCCTCGTTTCTTTACCTCTCTCTTCTCCCGGCTTTCTCTAAATTAGATCTCCTTCTGCCAGGGGTTTTAATTTTGCATGTTTTTCATCTAAAATCGACCATACTTCACCAGAGGTAGTTAATAATGTAAATTTACAATTGTAATGAGCATTATAAGGCACTGCAGTAGAAATTATGCCATGCACTAGCGGGCCACAAATTATATTCAGTAATGAAAATGCAGCTACACTTTTGCCACCGATACTAATAATCCGAGGTAAAATGAATTATGAGTTAAGCATGTCGTTTATTATGTGGGAATTTGATTCATTTGGCGGGTCCCTCAGGCTGTGACAGATGGCTTTTTCCTGGGGAGTCAGACGGTCCCGTCTGTCATTTTCTCAGGGGGCCCTTCCTCTGTCTTCGTTCCCGACATATTCGTTAACGTGGGGAGAAGGAGAACACAAATTAATGGACACATTAGCGCAGAGAATCGGGGTCATGGCGTTTCAGCCAAGAAGTAACACCTGATGTGGAGGGTGGTAACCGGGCCAGAAACCTGCGGATCCCGTACCTATCCACCCCTGACAGAGCTCGACTGTCTTCCTTCTCATTTCAGCTGCGCTGGCCTGCCAGTTCGGATCGGATTCAGGAATGTCTGATGGCCGGGAAGGATTCTGCGGTGAGTTGCTCGCTCACATTGGCTGTGTTGTCAGGCTCTTCGTTAATGACGCTCTAACGATCTGGTACCTCCCAGGCTATTTTAGTATCTTCACTCCTGTTCTTTATTAGCGGTACTGAAATCACATCACTTTATTTGTCACATCACTTTATTTGTCACATCACTTGACACTTGGTAGAATGCAGACAAGTGAAACGTTTGTGTGAAAGTCTCACAACAGTAGCATCAAGAATAGTAAATATGCATCACACTAATAATAAATAGTATGCAGCTTTAGAGAAAAATGAATATAATAAGTATAATGGGCCATTGTACAGAAATAGGCAGTCAATGTGTTTACTGGCCAGAGTTCATAGCATTCTGATGGTCTGGTGGAAGAGCTAGTCCCAGAGCCTGCTGGTTTGGGCCCCAAGGCCCGCCAATCCGATAGGCCGGTGTTTCCCATCCCTCTCCCCAGGGACCTCACGGACCTCAGGGTCCCAGTAGAAATGAGGGCTGTCTGGCAGGGAGCTGGGAGGGAGCACCGAGGATCAGGTTAGGGGACACTGCTATAGGCAACAAAGGCAGCGGCCTGAGGCTCCAAACTTCTGAGGCGGTGCAGACTTGGGTCCGCATACTGCCAAATCACCTCCGCGATGCTAGCAGTTTGAACAGCCTCTGGCACATGGGCGACTGCGATCCTTGATGATTTTCCCCCACTCACACTGGCCGTGATCTACGATCACATTGCTTGATTAATAATAAATCACAGAGAATTTTTATTAGCAGCATCATGCACTCTGTCCACTGTTGAGTCCACTGCTCTCTGATGCTGGGATTGTGCTGGACGCCTCTCTCCGACAGCAGGAATATTCCAGCATGTCATATCTCTAACAGCGAAAGTCTCTCTTTGACAGCTGGAGTGTGCAAACTTCCTACGTGTGCTACAACCCTATAATCACACCCACCTGTATGTCTGCGGCACGGGGGCCTTCAACCCGCGATGTGCTTTTATCCCCACAGAGGTGTTCCTCAAGGTACAGTCCGAGTCTCGCCTTAATTTAATTTGCCGCCCTTGTATTCATCTAATTTGCTGCCGGGTAACATTAAACACTGTGTAGGGGCCAACACGCTGACTTGTTTTACAGTGGAAAAGGTGACACATATTCTTGAAATTAGATAGATGAAAAAGCCAGCTAATCTTTTCCTGATTCTACCTCTCAAAGCCTCAGAGGCTGAAGCCCTGTCGATTCATTTAGCTGTGGCTCCTCCACAAATCCTCTGTCGAAAAGTTGGCAAAATGAAAACTGATTGAAGTTATCCATGCAACAAAAAAAAAGCACACTCACATATCAATGTCTCTTTTAGAAGAAAAAGAAACATATGTTGAGAAAAAGCATGTTTGGATAGACTAGCATGGTATATTAGGATAGAGAGCTGACTGAGCTGAAACGCATGATGAAGATTAGATAGAAATGGATTTGAGAATACGCTTGCTGGAGTGCATCATGATTGTGCACAGAATAGCGTAGTATGGCAGCTCAAACGGAGCCCTTGTACCAGCAGGCTTCGTCTGGAGCAGATATGCTTTCCAGAGTCTTCAGATTGATGGACTGGGAGTTAGGGAACGAGGAACTTTGAACAAGGAAAGCTGTCACAGATTATACTTCCTGCTGGTCAAATGTTGGTCCGCTTTGAGAAATTGGGGAAAATTCCCATTAATGTGAATCCCTGGTGAGGCATCACTGCCATTAACCCAGTTTAAGGAGAGAACGCGAGAAGGGGAGAGATTGTGGCTCAGGAATGAAGTTCCTCAAAGAAGCAACCAGGACAGAAAGACTGTTAGGAAAGAAATTAAGGCAGAGACTGGAGGCAGACGGGGTGAGAGACGAGCTGTGGTGACAGAGAACTTAGAGTGGGGTGAGAGTCTTTCAGACGAAACATCGACATACTTCCACCACACTCAAAGGTTCGGTCAGTTTCCATCTCTGACAGCAATGCTCCCTCACGCACCAAAATAGCGCAAAGACACAAAAATGTTTCAGAATCCAAGTAAGCTTTATTCTGCAAGCATTTCACATGGTACATCTTGGCACATCTGGTCCTGCTTATCAAAATTTTTTAGATAATTTATAATGGAGATCACAGTCTACAGTCACTGTACTTATCAGAAGGGGCATGGTGACATAGATTGGGGAACGTCTCCTGTAGATAGCAAAGGCACGCACATACACACACACACAGACACACACCCGGGTTGAGTAAAATGTCAGTGTGCTTATTTTGGGTACTACTCTGCAACTGAGAGCAGGAGAGAGCAAATCAGAAGCGTGAGTGTCCTAGAATCATATTCTGATACAACACAATCTGCATCCAACAAATCAATTAGGTACCAATTAAGAGAACACCTCAATGTTACAGGAAATCAATCGTGTGAATTATTTAACCAAATGTTTCCCTCAATTTCATTCCTTCACTCCTTGGCAGTAAATCTGGTTCACTGTAACCCGCAAAATCTGATCTGTCATATATGTGTATTAAATTTAAACCTTGTGTGCCTCTTGCTATTTTTCTTTCCGGAACACGGTGAGGATAAATAAGTCACTGGGGAAGTAGGAATGTGAGCGGCAAGAATAGTATAAAGGACGCACAGATGATCACGACATCTCTCATGATTTCGGCATTCAAATTGAAGTTACTGAGCTGTCAGGGCTCTGATATATTCGTTAATTTTTTAGTATGTCAGCGAAGGGAAGCCTTGCAGAGTGATGGCTGGCCTTTGAAGGCCGTCTCACAAAGACAAGTTCAAAGCACTCGACTTCTTCAGTCTCAGACAGAAACTGCTGAGCAGTAACATGACCCAGGCAGAGCATAGATAAGGTTGTGAACGGGACCTTGTCAAAACTTTTTCAAGATTTCTTGAGGAGTGTATGGCTACAAGTGGTAACTGGCTGGATCTACCCGACAGGGTGAGGGAGAGGTGACCTCAGAGCAGACGGAGTGCGGGAAAGGGAAGTGTCCTTATGATCCACATCAGAGAACCGCATCAGCCATTATAGGTATGTACGTGTGTGTGTGTATGCAGGTGTGTTTGCAGGGGACATCTGAGTCACTGTCACCCAAGCCATCTACCCAGGGAACATCTGAGTTATTGTCATCCAAGACATCTATGCAGCATGAGTTACGGTTGGATGTAAACGCTGTAGACTACACCCGGCCCCTCTCTGCCCCGTCCCGCAGATGCGGAGCTGTACGCCGGTATCACCTCTGACTTCATGAGCCGGGACTCCGCCTTTTTCCGCACCTTGGGCAGCCGTCACGTGATCCGCACCGAGCAGTACGACACCACCTGGCTTCAGGGTGAGGAGCCGTCCCTTGGGTAATCCAGACGGCATCTACCTCAACCCTCAGAGCTCCCTGACCTGCCCGTCACCTCCCCTCCAGATGCCCAGTTTGTGAAAGTAGCCACCGTGCCGGAGAGCGACAACCCAGAGGACGACAAGGTCTACCTGTTCTTCACTGAGTGCGCCCAGGAGGCCGAAGGAGCTCCTGGGAGGGTGATCTACTCCAGAGTGGCACGAGTTTGCAAGGTACCCCTCAGCCCTCCCCAGCCGCCATTTCTTCCATAGCTAGACCCCTGTCCTCACCTCCATTCTTCAACCCAGGCCTGAGGCACCCCCAGACAGTCCACGTTTTTGCTCCCTCCCACCTCACAGCTAATCATACCGAATACCTGGTGCACTGGGAGCTGGGAGGGAGCAGAAATGTGGACTGTCAAGGGTATCCCAAGGATGAGGTCAAGAAATAATCTACTACAGTATTTACAACAGATTTTACTTCACTTTTACTTCACATCACAATATATGTAAAAGCTTTTAAAAAGATCACAGTATATTAGCATAGTTTTACTGATAAATGGAAACCGAGTTGAGAGACACTGCGAAACCAACTTTCCTTCATCCAAACATTCATCCATCCCATCTTCCATTTTCTACTGCTTATCTAGTCCATCCCAGGTAGAACAGGGCACAAGCCAGGGGACCCCCTGAACGGGATACTAGTCCATCACAAGGCGTGGAGCGTGAAGCACATGTGTAATAGGAGGACATCTTCTTTCCTATAGAATGACATTGGCGGTCAGCGCAGCCTTGTGAACAAGTGGAGCACCTTCCTCAAGACCCGCATGGTGTGCTCCATCCCAGGGGACGATGGCATTCACACGTACTTCGACCAGCTACGTGAGTGCCAGACCTGCATCGTGCCACAGACTGAGCATGCTCTTAACGTACACAGGCTTGATCACATGGCCGCACGATAACCGCATGCCCAAACTTTAGGGTAGTTTTACACGTTTCACGAAGTTTTAAAGATAAAAGAAAGTTATATACTGCTCAGATCTTCTGCTGGAGAGGCCTGTCTTGTTTATCCTGACCGTTATCCACAACAGTACAAGCTACCATCCAACAAACGTGCGCTTGTGTATGTTTGTTTGTGAGCACCCTGTTGACACTTGTTACGGGCCTCGTCTGTGTGATTGCGATGGAATCGCAGGCCGGCTGCGTACGGCGCGGCCCCGTTCCCGTCTGTGTAAACAGTGAGGGCAGATAGTGTAAACATGACTCCCCAGATACACATACGGCAAACACCAGGAACATCTCCCACAAATCAGGTATGGAGTATACCGTCAGGGCACGTCAGTCACGGACTTCCATTGGTGCTGGAAGTAGTGAGGGTCTATCGAAGAGAGCCCCCTATTGGTCGGAGGAGGAATGTAGCATGAATTGAAGGATCAGAGGAGAATGGGGAACTGGGAATCCTGATTATTTGGGGATGGTCTAGTGCTGTTGCATAAACATCTCCCGTTCCTCTGGATGCTGCTAATGCGGGAGGAACACTGGGGTGACCACAGGGGAAAAGACGTGGATTTCACAACTTTGCAGGGATGATTAATCTAGAGAGATGCCATCTCTGAAGGAATTCGGAGCCATGTATTTATGTCGTGCTCCGTGGGCCGTAAAAACAGCGTGTCCCATCATCCAATGTGGGTAGTGCGGAGTGGTGAATACACGGGCAGAGTGGTGTGACCACTCGCTCATTCATTCATTTGACCAGTATCTCGATCGTAATGTAAACGTGTAAGAAAATACTTGCAGCTTTGTGGATGGGTGAACAAAACACTTTGTACATTTATCGTAAAGACCTAGAAGGGCAACCCACAATCTTGAAAGCTACTAGATCAACATCGGACCAGACGACGGCGTTGACTCAGAGGGTTCAGACTGTCATGTTGAGACTGGGGTTTCAGGCCACAGTGCTGGGACACCACATGGTTTTCAAACTTTTAGGGGCATTTTTCAGAACGTTTTCCGGATGCTGGGGTGTTTTCAGGAGCCGTGGTCCGTGTGGTTGATTGCCAGCTCAGACATTACCCTCATTCCAGACCGTAGATCACCCCACTCCAGATGCGGGGGGTTGGGGGGGGATCAGGGTCAGGCCCTTGGGGATTAGACTTGGGGTGGGGGGGGGCAGGATGATATGCAGTATGAGGGCTGAAGGCAGGAGGGGGTGTGATGCGGGTAAGACAAACATATCTCACCTAGTGGGGAAGACATCCTTTTATGCAGGGAGAGATACAGCGCAGTCTGGAGTAGAGCAAAGGTCAAGAGAAAAAGGCGAAAAAAAATATATGTGGTGTAGAAGTGGGGGGTACGTTTGCGGGGGGTGCAGGAGAGAGCTGGTGGCCTGCTGGGGAGGTACGGGAGCAGGAACAGTGGCGGCAGCGGTCCAAGAGACTCAACCAGTGGAGATTAGATTAGATAGCCCCCCCCCCCCTTGCCGCATCGCCCCTTTGCCAGCAGGGACAGATTCCATCGTGGCCACCTGAACGGACAAGAACGAGAGGAATGTGAGAAGGCAGTTCCGCTCCATTGTCCGCCGCAGCACAACAACCTGCGGTTCAGCACGTCCCACACAAACGTACCGCGACCTGGAGCCGCGACCCGGGCTTCAGCACTGAAGTGGGAGGACTTTCCTCCAACATCACCATCTCCCAAACTGGAGCTTTGGAGGACTGCCGTCTGCGTTTCACTGTGTGGCTCCCTGTCGCCTGAATGAACCCCAGTGACTCCCAGTAACTTTCTGCTTCTGACAAAACGGGCTGCTTCAGCCGATGGCTGGATCTTCCTCACACAGCCACGTGCTGAGCCACCTGCCCCCGGCTTGGCAGCACGTCCGCTTACATAAATCTCCTGCAAATCAGATCTGGCATCTTGGGCAGAATATGGTCACACACATGTAGCCCAGACAAGCAGATAGAAACACACATGCCCACAATGAGAGTTGATTGTTTTATATCTTGCAGAGGACATCTTCCTCCTGCATGGGAAGGACAAGACTGACCCTCTCATCTATGGGCTTTTCACCACAAGCAGGTGAGCCATCGCTTTTAATTCTCATCGCTTCTTCTGTGCGCATGAACATTTTCTCAAAAGAGCCATCAGGGCTTTTCTTCCTGGGCTTTGGTCCCCCCCAAAATATTCTTTTGCCCCTTCAAATAAATCTGCACTAATGAGTTTATATAGTGTGCTCTCATTCATTTTCATTAAAATCAGACCCCCCTTGTTAAAGCTTAGCCCCCCTTTTCATAAATCTCTAGTGACACTCCTGTCAGACACGTTAGCATTTAGATAAAAGAGGAGAATCTAAAGCCACATATAATTAAGAAGACAGGGACAGTCAGTCCCTGGAGCAATTCTGGTTAAGGGTCTAGTGGTGAAGTCACTCTGTCAACCACTGGGTTTAACCCGGCAACCTTCTGATCACTAGCACAGCTGAGCGACCCCACCCTCTTAAAAGAGCCTGGTTATTTTCACTGAAGAAATTGACTCATGACTATATAGTGATACATCTCAGGGTTGCCAACTTTGGTCAGCTGGCTAGAGTGAGATTTTCGATTTAAGACAAGTCTGTACACACATTTACATGTCTGTGACAGTTTTATTACCTTGTAAATAGTCTGTAGGGTTTGCAAACTACGCCAATGCCCTTTATATAGCTAATTTTAGGTTTTTAATGGAATAATATAGATTTGTTGTAAGATTTCTTGAATGAGCGTGAGAGTCTGAAAGCCAGATGCATGAGAGCTGGCAACCCTGCATCTTATTTGACAAAGGACCACCTTGCTTTGATAAATCTTCTAGTACATAAAGAGGGACATCTGTGAGGCGTGTAAATCACTGGGTATTAGGGCATCTTCCTGGTCCTGTAATATACATGCTGTCATGTTCTCTGTCTGCACAGAGCAGACTCATACTTCATGCGCCCTGTAATGCGACGCCATTTCAGCCTCCCGTCCACATCATAACGATCGGGATCTATCAGCATTAGTGTAGACATGCTTTGCATTATGCGGTTTTTGGGTGTGTCTCCTGCGTGTAGCGCAGTGTCTGTGTGTGATCACAGCTTGTGGGTTCAGTGCTCAGTGTGAGTGTGTGTGTGTGCACTGGGACACATATACTGCGTGTGAGTCCTGCGTGTGTGTTTTCACTGAACATACCGTTGTGTGAGTGTGTGTGTCGGTACACGCCGTCTGCGTGTGCGGCCCCCTCACCGGAACGCTATCTGCCAGGATGGCATGTCGAGCGAGAGGCCCCATGTGTCGTTAATGAGCCTGCGGTGATCCAGGGACGGTATAGATTAAGAGTCTGCTAATCCCTGAAGCAGCGATCACATGGTTGCAGTCTGAACAGTGCTAGTAGCTTGGAGGGGGAGGGGGTGTGGGGGCAAGTTTATCACACCCCACAACTTTGATGACTGCAGACGCCTCGGCTGCTATAAGGGACAGAAATACCGCCCTCCACATTCATCTGAAAAGGAACCAGACTTCATTTAGGGCAGCAATCGGAGCCCTGGGGGTACTCATCTGGCCGTGCGAGGATTAGATATTACTTATCCGTTTAAGAGACCGTCTTAATTAGGACAGAATTCAGAGCAATCACAGCAAGGGCAGTGTAAAGTAAAAACAAAATCATACTTTCTTGATTTTCAAATGTATTAGTAAGGAGCAGCAGGTTCAGAATAAGACGAAAACAACAATTTACAACAATATACAATTTTTATTTACCAGACGTGTATAGCCTAAGTGACAAACAATTAAAGCATGGTTAGATAATCCCTGGAAC